TCACTGCAGCTCAGTGCCCTCACTGCAGCTCAGTGTCCTCACCGCAGCTCAGTGTGCTCACTGCACCTCAGTGTCCTCACTGCAGCTCAGTGTCCTCACTGCAGCTCAGTGTCGTCACTGCACCTCTGTGTCCTCACCGCAGCTCAATGTCCTCACCGCAGCTCAGTGTCATCACTGCAGCTCAGTGTCCTCACTGCACCACAGTGTCCTCACCGCAGCTCAGTGTCCTCACTGTACCTCAGTGCCCTCACTGCAGCTCAGTGTCCTCACTGCACCTCAGTGTCCTCACTGCAGCTCAGTGCCCTCACTGCAGCTCCGTGTCCTCACTGCAGCTCAGTGTCCTCACTGCAGCTCAGTGTCCTCACTGCAGCTCAGTGTCCTCACTGCAGCTCAGTGTCCTCACTGCACCTCAGTGTCCTCACTGCAGCTCAGTGCCCTCACTGCAGCTCAGTGCCCTCACTGCACCTCAGTGTCCTCACTGCACCTCAGTGTCCTCACTGCAGCTCAGTGTCCTCCCTCACTGCACAGTGTCCTCACTGCACCTCAGTGTCCTCACTGCAGCTCAGTGTCCTCACCTGCAGCTCAGTGTCCTCACCGCAGCTCAGTGTCCTCACTGCAGCTCAGTGTCCTCACCGCAGCTCAGTGTCCTCACCGCAGCTCAGTGTCCTCACCGCAGCTCAGTGTCCTCACTGCACCACAGTGTCCTCAATGCACCACAGTGTCCTCACTGCACCTCAGTGTCCTCACCGCAGCTCAGTGTCCTCACCGCACCACAGTGTCCTCACCGCAGCTCAGTGTGCTCACCGCAGCTCAGTGTCCTCACCGCAGCTCAGTGTCCTCACTGCAGCTCAGTGTCCTCACTGCACCTCAGTGTCCTCACTGCAGCTCAGTGTCGTCACTGCAGCTCAGTGTCCTCACTGCACCACAGTGTCCTCACCGCAGCTCAGTGTCCTCACCGCAGCTCAGTGTCCTCACCGCAGCTCAGTGTCCTCACTGCAGCTCAGTGTCGTCACTGCAGCTCAGTGTCCTCACTGCAGCTCAGTGTCCTCACTGCAGCTCAGTGTCCTCACTGCACCACAGTGTCCTCACTGCAGCTCAGTGCCCTCACTGCACCTCAGTGTCCTCACTGCACCTCAGTGTCCTCACAGCAGCTCAGTGTCCTCCTCTCACTGCAGCTCAGTGTCCTCACTGCAGCTCAGTGTCATCACTGCACCTCAGTGTCCTCACTGCACCTCAGTGTCCTCACAGCAGCTCAGTGTCCTCCTCTCACTGCAGCTCAGTGTCCTCACCGCAGCTCAGTGTCATCACTGCAGCTCAGTGCCCTCACTGCACCTCAGTGCCCTCACTGCACCTCAGTGTCCTCACTGCAGCGCAGTGTCCTCACTGCAGCTCAGTGCCCTCACTGCACCTCAGTGTCCTCACTGCAGCTCAGTGTCCTCACTGCAGCTCAGTGTCCTCACTGCACCACAGTGTCCTCACTGCAGCTCAGTGTCCTCACTGCACCTCAGTGTCCTCACTGCAGCTCAGTGTCCTCACTGCAGCTCAGTGTCCTCACTGCAGCTCAGTGCCCTCACTGCAGCTCAGTGTCCTCACTGCACCTCAGTGTGCTCACTGCAGCTCAGTGCCCTCACTGCAGCTCAGTGTCCTCACTGCACCTCAGTGTCCTCACTGCACCTCAGTGTCCTCACTGCAGCTCAGTGTCCTCCCTCACTGCACCTCCACTGGGCCCTGAGTCCCAGCACCGCCTCCCTTCCCGGCTGGCTGGGATCCCCAGGCCAGCCGCCTTGCTGCCCTACCTCATACTGGTCTCCAGGACAGAGGCGCGCGTAGCCCACCAAGCCTAGAGAGAAACAGGAGTTCCTGGCCAGAGGCTCTTGGGACCCTGCCGGTGAGCCTGGCAGTCTGGAGAGTACACGCTTTCACCAGGGAGGGGGATGGACGGGAGGGTGCTCTGCACACAGCCGGATACCCATGGGCAAACAGTCACATGGGGAGCCCGCCAGCCCGCCTGAACCCTCGGCTCGCAGCGCACAGCCCTTACCTTTCATCCGGACGACAAACTCACCCAGGTGGACCTCCAGGGCCGCCTCGATGAGCCACATGTCCTGCAAAGCCCATGGGTGGTTCAGGAGCCAGCCAGCCTGGCCTGTCTGGGACCCAGGGCCCCCCCCCACCCTGGCCCCCCGGGGGGAGGGAGGTCTGGGGGGCACATACCTCCGTGCACTCCAGCAGGCTGCGGCCCAGCTCCTGCAGGCTGTCCCGGGACGCACGGCTCAGGGGGCCGCAGGAAAAGGCCCGCTGCATGTTGGAGGCGCCGTCCCGCAGGCGCTGCTGGATGCAGTAGCCCTCGTAGAGCTCGTCCACCTGTGGGCACAGGCCGTGGCACCGTCCCGCAGGGTGGCCACAGTACCCGCAGGCCGCCCCCAGCCCGGCTGCCCGGCAGCTGCCCAGGTCTCATCCCGGGCACCGTGAGCGTGCACCGCAGCGACGGGCCGCTGCCTGCCCAGGACCCAGTGCCGCCCAGTCCACAATGAACACACACGAATGTGTCACCCCCCTCCCTCAGGGCTGCTTTCCTCCCCCAGTACCAGGGCTTGAACTCAGAGCCGGACACTCTTGCTTGACTATGTTGCTGAAGCCTAGCATTCTGCCCCTTCAACCACACATCCACTTCCGTTTTTTTTGTTATTTGGAAATAACAGTCTCATGGACTTTCCTGCTCACAGTCCTCAGATCTCAGCCTCCTGAGTAGTTAGGATGACAGCCGTGAGCCACCAGTGCTTAGCTTTGTTTAATTTCTTTTAGGGGTGTGGGTTGGTTGTGGGGCTTGAACTCAGGGCCTGGGCGCTGTCCCTGAGCTCTCCGGCTCAAGGCTAATATTCTACCACTCTGAGTCACAGCACCACTTCGGGTTTTGGAGTGGTTAATTGGAGATAAAAGTCTCATGGGGACTTTTCTTTCTGGGCTGTCTTCGAACCGCGATCCTCAGATCTCAGCCTCCTGAGTTTCTAGGATGACAGGCGTGAGCCACCTGCGTGGGGAGGCTGGGTTAATTTTTAACTGGTAACACTTGCACATGCGCCTCCCAGGGAGTGCCGGCAGACAGTTGTGAAGGGACTGCAGGGCTGAGTCAACCGAACAGGCCTCTGTGTGGTGTGGGAAACACTGTGCTGTGGGCCTGCACTTCCCATCTGTGCCACAGGGGGGCGCTGGGCCTAGCTGTCCCGCGCCCACCCCTCCTCACCCTCACACCCTCCTCAGGGCTGAGCCCCTGCTGCTTTCCACCGGCCCAGGGCCTGTGACCCCCATGCCCTGTGACCCCCACACATGACCCCACAGCCGCTCACCTTGCTGATGTAGAACTCCATCTTCCGGATGTACCTCTCCACCGAGCGCGTCTGCTGCTCCCAGAAAAAGAAAAGATGCTTTTAAAAAAGCCTGGGGGCTGGGAAGGTGGCTCAGCGGTAGAGCGCTCGCCTTGCATGCCTGAGGCCCTGGGTTCGATTCCTCAGCACCACACAAGCAGAAAAATAAAAGCTGGGAGTGGCGCTGTGGCTCAAGTGGTAGAGCACTAGCCTTGAGCTGAAGAGCTGAGGGACAGCGCCCAGGCCCAGAGTTCAGGCCCCACGACCAACCAAATAAAAAAGCCTGGGCCTCTGCCAGGCTCTGGTGCCCTCTGCTGGACCCTAGCAAGGACAACTAGGCCCACCGGCCTGAGAGAGCCTCAGTTTCCCTCTCCAACATGAGAAGGAAGCCAATATTCCATGCAAAGATGGAACACAGCAGTCCAGGCAGGCAGGAGGGGGACGGCCAGCCAGGCTCCTCCCTGCCAGGCCCCGCGCATGCGCCTGCCTGACGCGCAGTGCAGGAGCTCTGCTTACCTTGTCCAGGTCGTAATAGAAAGCCTGCGGGTAGGACAGGGGAAAGGAAGAAGAGTCAGAGTCCAGATGCCCTCCCAGGCCCAAGTCTTCATCCCGGGGCACCTGAACCCAGAGGACAAGAGGCCTGTGTCCAGGACCAGGCCAGCAGCTCACGCCTGTCATCCTTGCTATTCAGGAGGCTGAGATCTGAGGATCGTGGTTCAAAGCCAGCCGGGCAGCAAAGTCCATGAGACTTTCTAGCAAAAAGCTGGAAGTGGAGGTGCGGCTTAAGTGGTGAAGCACTAGTGTTGATCAAAAAAGCTCAGGGACAGCGCCCAGGTATTGAATTTAAGCCCCCAGACTGGCACACTAAGTGACACCAGAGGGAAGGCAGTACCTGCCCGTGTGGTTAAAACATAGCAAGGGGCTGGAAGGCGGCTCAGTGGTAGAGCACTGGCTTTGCATGCACGAGGCCCTGGGTTCGATTCCTCAGCACCACATAAGCAGAAAAAGCCAGAAGTGGTGCTGAGGCTCAAGTGGTAGAGTACCTGCCTTAAGCTGAAGAGCTGAGGGACAGCGCCCAGGCCCAGAGTTCAGGCCCCATGACCGACAAAAATAAAATAAAACACAGCAGGGCCAGCATGAAGCTGGGTCCCCCTTTCCCGTGAGCCTGGAGTTCTGAGATCCTAACGCATGCCCGGTGCGGCTGGGTGGGGGCGGCCTGGCTCTGGGGTGGGGGCGGCCTGGCTCTGAGGTGGGGGGGCCTGGCTCTGGGGGGGGGCGGCCTGGCTCTGGGGGGGGGGTGGCCTGGCTCTCACCAGCCTGGAGTTCCTCTGCGTGTCCCCGTGGCAGCCGCACAGCGCGTCCAGCTCGGCCTGCTGCACACACAGGTGCTCCCTGGGGACGGCGAGAGGAAGAGGCTGGAGGCCCGGCGGGCGACCACCGCCCAGCGTGACCATCACCATGCCCCAGCCCTCCACCCACTGGGCTTCCGTGCCCACCTGAGGCCTCTCTTCAGAGCCTCGAAGATCCTTTTCACCTGCTGGGGCCGGGGATCCGGGCCGGCCGCACCCCGGCGCAGCGTGCCGTACACCTTGGAGGACCGTGTGAGCATGCGCGATCTCATGGAGTTCCGGCTGGTGGACTTCCTGTGACAAGGGACAGAGCGGCCGGGGGTCAGTGCAGGGCCTGGATGAAGCCCGCCCAGGCCCAGGCACTTCGGGAACAGTGGCCAGAGTCCCAGGGAGTTTGGGGGCGGCGTCCCCCCCCAGCACCTCTCTGCTGTGGGGTCCTGAGAAGGCTGAGCCTCTGGCGCTCAGCCTCCTGTCTATCCACGACAGGCCTGGCTCTGAAGACTAAGAGCAACAAATACCGGGATGAAAAAGGAGCGTACGGGAAGAAATGAGCAAGCAGCGTTCCTAAATGCCTCGGCAAAGCTGCACGGGAGGCCAAGTCATAGCCCTGTGGTTCATGCAGATGGCACCGCCCAACGTCCACCCCCTTCCTGTGTTAGTAGCACCTGGACTCCCCGCTGGTGCAGGGCCCCCAGTTCTGCTTGATACTCATGGGGGAGGTGAGCTGATGAACCTCCATGCTCACACCTATGCACACATTTCACACACACACACACACTCTTCAGGCATGGGCTACAACTATTTCACTCTTCCTGGCCTGGGGACCTGGAGCCCTAGCAATGCATGAGGCTGAGGCAGCAGACCGCCCAAACCCAGATCAAGGTCAGCCCAGGTGACACTTTAAGGCCCTGTCTCTGCGACCACCAGCAGCCACCAGAGACCACCAGAGATCACCAGAGATCACCAGAGATCACCAGAGACCTCCAGAGATCACCAGAGATCACCAGAGACCTCCAGAGACCACCAGAGATCACCAGAGACCTCCAGAGACC